TGTGTGTGAGGATTTTCTTTCGGCCTACCTTGATGTCGTCCAGGGTTTGCTCGTGGCTTGCTGTGTTGTTTTCACCGTTCTAGAGTGTGCTGTGACGCATGAATTATACTTGTTGTGTTTATGACATTAATGTGGACATATTCTGATGATGTATTATGAGGTCGAACATATTACAGTGGCTATTACTTTCTCTTTTATGCTTTCGTTATCCTATCAGTTTATTGAGCTTATTAAAGTGATATATGTGGAAGTCCTCTTTTATACTCATTATGCCTCCTTTTTTTAGCTTTTTCAGTCATTTCCACGATTACTGTCATCGGCCCATACTGATGGTGTTTATTTAGTATGTGTTGGGCAAATGCTGATTCGTCTTTGTTTAGTCTTATATTTCTTATGTGTTCTTTGTATCTAGTTGTTAGATTTCTACCCGTCTGGCCGATATATACTTTTTGGCAGCTTTGGCATGTTAATTTGTATATACCACTTTGTTCGTATGGGTTAATTTGTCGCGTTTCGTTTATTAGATTACCTATTGTGTGTGTTGTTTTAAAGGCTATCTTTATGTTAGTGTTTTTGAGTAGTTTTGTGATTTTTCGTATGTAGTTTCCTGTATAAGTGACCCATTTTTGTTGTTCTTTTTCGTCTTTGTTATCCGGGTTACTTATCTTTTGTTTAAGTTTGTTATATAGGTGTGTGATGTCTTCCCTTCTATAGCCATTATTTAGTGCTACATTAATAATAGTACTTAATTCTTTCTTTTTAGAGTTTTTCTCAAGTGGTTGTGTAAGAAGTCTGTGTATCCAGTTTTTATATTCTGCTAGTTTTTGTTCTTAGGGTGGCATGCTTTATTACTTATAGTTACATCTGTCGATGTGGGTTTTCTGTATATTTCCATTTCTATTTGTCCGTTTCTGTTAATTATGTTTAAGTCTAGGTAGGTTATTTGGTTGTTTACTTCCTCATTTATTGTGAATTGCAGGTTTTTATGTTGTCTATTGAACTGTTCGAGGATGCACTGGGGGGTTATTTTTGTTTGATTATATATTCATGCCACCCTAAAGAACAAAAACTAGCAGAATATAAAAACTGGATACACATACTTCTTACACTACCACTTGAGAAAAACTCTAAAAAGAAAGAATTAAACACTATTATTAATGTAGCACTAAATAATGGCTATAGAAGGGAAGACATCACACACCTATATAACAAACTTAAACAAAAGATAAGTAACCCGGATAACAAAGACGAAAAAGAACAACAAAAATGGGTCACTTATACAGGAAACTACATACGAAAAATCACAAAACTACTCAAAAACACTAACATAAAGATAGCCTTTAAAACAACACACACAATAGGTAATCTAATAAACGANTTAAGGTTTCATCTTTCAATTGGTATATGATTTATTTATTTTGGACGAATTTTTTAGCATGGTATTTTTATTTTATATCATTAGTGTAATAGTTCGTACTTTGGTCTCATTGCGCCTAGATTGCATTGAAGTTTTTCGAATTCTAAGTAAGGAAAATGTATAAAACTATATATCTTTCGACTCTATGGTCTTTGCTTGTCTATATGAATCACTCACTGAAACCCCAGACGAAGGTTTTCCTTGAGTGTGTTGCTGTACAGTCTGCTGACACAATGAAGTAGTCAAACAAGAGCAACAAGAGGGTCCTTTTTTCTTGGAACCAAATGCAACCTAAGAAAACAAACTTACGAATGATACAGAAATCTATGATGTCATAACACATTCTTCTCTCAGTCGCGCCATAACCATGGCCTCTACAATTAGGAAAGTTTTACAGGACGATGAACTAGATGAGCTCCTTGCTCACGACTCGGAAGTTAGTGAGTTCGAATATTCGGATAGTAGTGAAAACAGTGATAATGAAATTGAAGATCAGGCTGTAGTTGATGCTATCCAAGATCATAGTATTGAAGATGACGACGAAATAGTGGCGAGGGTTCCAGTGGCGGATTCAGACGAGAGTTATTTTTGGAAAACTATGGATAATTATGATGGCGTTCGCGAACGGTTTTCTGAAAATTCGGGGCCGAGAAATCAGTCTGTGAATGTGCTCGACATAGTACAGACATTTCTACTATTTTTTACTGAGGATTTTGTAAACAATATCGTTCAGGAAACAAACACTTATGCGCAACAAATTTATATGTGGGAGGGTTTTTCCATTTAGATAACACCATCCCCCGGCTTCGTGAAAGACATTTTATTAGTAAAATTCCCCCATCAGGAAAAAAGGCTAGACCACAAAGGCGATGTGTAGTGTGTACAAAAAACAAAAGAAGAAAAGAAACCGTGTACTGGTGCAGTGATTGTGATGTTGGGCTATGTACTGACCAGTGTTTTCAGGATTACCACACCAAACTCAACTTTTAGCAGTTTGAGTGAGTAAAAAAATATTATTTATCATAATTATATTAAAAATACATATATAATTTTGTTCTTCGTTTCATTATGAATATTTCTGTGAAAATTTTATCTCAATATACCTATTTTTGCGAGAGTTAATAAATTTTTCATGGATAAGTGCAATTTTCTGTTTAATAATTAAATACTCTGTCGGTTTGGCGGTAGGATAACATTTAAATACTATCTGTCGCGGAAGGGTTAAACAAAAGATAAGTAACCCGGATAACAAAGACGAAAAAGAACAACAAAAATGAGTCACTTATACAGGAAACTACATACGAAAAATCACAAAACTACTCAAAAACACTAACATAAAGATAGCCTTTAAAACAACACACACAATAGGTAATCTAATAAACGAAACGTGACAAATAAACCCATACGAACAAAGTGATATATACAAATTAACATGCCAAAGCTGCCAAAAAGTATATATCGGCCAGACGGGTAGAAATCTAACAACTAGATACAAAGAACACATAAGAAATATAAGACTAAACAAAGACGAATCAGCATTTGCCCAACACATACTAAATAAACACCATCAGTATGGGCCGATGACAGTAATCGTGGAAATGACTGAAAAAGCTAAAAAAAGGAGGCATAATGAGTATAAAAGAGGACTTCCACATATATCACTTTAATAAGCTCAATAAACTGATAGGAATAACATCTAGAAACTTTTAAAAACTTTACAATACCAGGAAGCTGCTGTGATTGTGAAATGTTCGACTTTATGCGTACTGTGCATTATAGGATATAAGTGTATGTATTTTAAATCAAAACATCTGTTGTGATGGTAGTTTCCAGTTCATAATGATGTTCCCTCTGAAGATGGTCCGTAAGGACCGAAACATGTAAGGGAGATAAGTTTTCACATAGTAAAAACTTACATGTCACATTGGACGGAGTGGTTTGTATTTATCATGAAAATTTGTTTGTACTTTTTAAGACTGTTGAACAGGAATATGAGACTATATAGTTTGGTAGATAGGTACTAACATATTGGGGGAACCTACTACTTCCACCATCTGGATACAGTATCTCACTCTTCTATACATCATGTTCATTCACAACATTGGTACTTATATCTCAGATTATGGCATCACATTCCAGAAGAGCATGTCTTAATATTCACAGCCATGGGAACCTTGAATCTCAGAGACTTGTACTTTTCTTCACGTGATTCCTAAAATTTTGTATTTGTCATGTTTAAGTCAAGAAGTAAATACAGTAATCTCCATTTAATGTTCTTAATTTAAGGTTTTCCCTCGTTTAATGTTCAATTTCAGCTATTCCTCTTCAGTAATTTCAGTATTAAATTTCACCCCTTTAAAATATTCCTCAGTTCAATGCTCAAATCCACTGCAGCCCAGAGAAACCTTAAGTGGGGGTTTCGCTGTATGTGTTTCATGTAGCTGCCATGTTATTTTCCATTTTAGATAAAAATTACTTTGAGAAATTGACATAGCTTTTAAACATACACTGAAACACCCACTTAAGGTCACTGTGAGGACCAGTGAATTTGAACTCCTTAAATGGTAAAAATTAAATACTGATAATTGACTTCGGATTAGTGAAATTGAACAGTAAACAAGAGAAAACCACCTTAAACTGAGGAAGTTCCACTGTATTATGGTACAAATTCTTGATCCTCCATGGTTATCTCCAGTGGCTAGACCTTCTTACCATGTCCCATAAAGTCAAATAAGTTTCCTATAAGTTGTTTGGGAAGGTGCACAGACATAGCATTGCCCTCTAAATGTGTTTTTCCTTATGGAGGTTATTCAAAAAGTCACAGCTATCCTGCAGAACTCATTCACAGTTAAATTGGAGGATTGTTTACTGCCGCAGTTTTGTGGTCACATCTGATGATTCACATTTATTCCCTAAGATCAGAGGAATACAGTATTTAATGTAGTATGACATTATTTATGAAAGTCTCTGGTAATTAGGCTTAGAACAAAATACAGCTGACATTTTTATTACAGATTATTATGATCTTGTTCTCCTTAACAGTGACCTTCAGTTCTGTGCTGGTGTCGAAGCTAACAGAAGGCACACTTTTGTCATGGATAACTTACAACAGGGGATGCTTCCTGTTAGTCGCGTATGTATTCTGTATTCATTTATTGATGAGACTGGTATGAAATTTTGTGTTCTCTTGTGGTTGATATTTATATGTATAGAATTATATATACATTTTAATCAGTCTACGAAACATCCACTACAGCAACTGCATCAGTTCCTGTAATTCATATGACATTTTAGAATTTACATTTCTATGCTCTTCTTCTGTAAGAACAAGGATTTGGCCTCCAGGCCCATTCTAACACTCAGAGTTGATCTGACCATCTCCACTCATGTTTTACAATATCTCCTTCCTTCAGGTTTATAATAATTTGATAGCTTAGGAAGTCTTGGGCTTTCCATTCTTAATAACTGATCACCCCATTGTGGTGTATATCTTTTGGTGTCTTCCACTGTGCTAGTTGACCACTTATATTTCCTGAAATAGTCCTTGCTTGAAAAGCCTTCTAAGTGGTCTGAAAACTGTAATTTGTTAAACCTCATAATATTGTATTTGAGCATCGTGTTGCACTAGTTGAGCACCTGATGTATATGCATAATATAGCCTTGTAAATGCAACATTTTGTAGCTTGGTGTTTGGAACACCAGTTAGTCCACATAATCATTTATGTGGACATGGAATAAGTGGTGTAACAATATAAATATAAATATATACCAAAACATGGACAAAATGGTGTTCTAACCAATATACTGTGAAGTTTTGCGTTTACAAGCCCATATTACACACACACACACTCAGTCATGGAGCTGGGCCCTTCTTGAGAAGCTGCCAATTGTGCAGCTACTCAAGAACTTCCAAGAATTTGTTGGAACCTGAAGGTTCATTACTGTGTTCACAAGAGCCCACCACTGGTCCCTGTCCTGAGCCAGATCAGTACAATCTATACCATCCTTTCCTATCACCCTAAGATCCATATCAATATTGTCCACCCACCTACATCTTGGTCTCCTTCCTTCCAGCTTTCCCACCAATATCCTATACACATTCCTCGTCTCCCCCATTCGTCCTACATGCCCCACCCACCTCATCCTCCTTGACTTGATCATTCTAATTATACTTGGAGAAGAGTACAAGTTATGAAGCTCCTCATTATGCAGTTTTCTCCAACCTGTCACTTCACCTCTCTTCGGTCCAAATATTCTCAACACCCTCTTCTCAAACACCCTCAGTCTATGTTCCTCCCTTAATGTCAGAGACCAAGTTTCACACCCTTACAGAACCACAGGCAAAATTATAGTTTTGTATATTCTAATCTTTATGTTTTGGGACAGCAGACAAGAAGAGAAAAGTTTCTGGACTGAATGGTAGCAACCATTACCTGAGTTCAGTCTTCTCTTAATTTCCCCCTGAATCAGGTTTCGAATCTGTTATCATTGTCCCCAAATATCTGAAGTGTGCCACATTTTCAAAACATCTGTTTCCTATCTTTATGTCATGATTTTGCCCTGCATTCTGGTGATGAGAAAGGAACATATACTTAGTTTTTTTCTGTTTACTTCTAGACCAACTGTTGAATCTCCCTGTGTTATTATTTTGTGCTTAAAAAGGATTTTTAGTTTTCTATGAGCAGATCCCCTTTATTAATTTTGATGCAGATCTCTGAGTGGTGTGTCTAGCATTATTACACATGGAGGATGTTAGGGATTAAACTTTCCTGTACCTCTCCTCTTATGCATATTGTAAAGAGAATTACAACAGTAAGAGTCTGTCAACAGATAGTTTTTGTTTTTAATGATGCTTAGATTATGCTTTGTGCTGCCTTTTGTTTGCAGGAATATCACACACAACAGACACAGAGATTCTTGAGATGAGTTGAACAAGATAATTAGCATGACACTGTAAATGTATAATCATTTTAATACAAGTGATGCAGAATTTGTGATCTTATGGGTTATGAGAGTATGTAGTCTGATAGATAGTTGACAGGGTTTTAAATGAACCTGCTGCCTTCAGTCCTCCAAAATGTTGGCGACCATATACCAAACCTTGCATTGTCATAACCCAGAACACCAGAGTCTAAATATAATTTCTTATTCCACATCTCTTAGGTTCCTTTGGGATATGAGGTGTGACAAAGGAACCACACTGATATAACTAGTTTTATTTTATTGGTAACTCTGGTATGATTTGGTCACCCTCATATTACTCCTCCTGTTTTCTAACATAAAATGTCCCTTCCATGATTGGAAGGTGCTGCAGATCTCTGAGATCAGAGTCCTTTCAGTACTGACATAGTATTGCTCCAAACATTTTCAGTAGATAAAATATCTACCCCTTCAATAATATTTTCAGTTCTGAGTGTACGAAATGGTTCTTGGGGGGGGGGAGTACAGTGGATGTTTTTTTTTTTTTCTTTCC